TCCTAAGTGAGGAAACATAGATCACATAACAAGTTAGCACATGATACAGCTTTAAAACACAGACTTCTGAATTTGAATCTAGTGTTTTTTTCTGCTACATAAATAACTAGTCTTGGCCGGGCACAGTGGCTCACGCTTGTAATCCCAGCACCTTGGGAGGCCAAGGCGGGTGGATCATGAGGTCAGGAGATCGAGACCATCCTGGCCAACATGGTGAAATGGTAAAACCCCATCTCTGCTAAAGATACAAAAATTAGCTGGGTGTGGTGGCACATGCCTGTAATCTCAGCTACTCAAGAGGCTGAGGAAGGAGAATTGTTTGAATCAAGGAGTTGGAGGCTGCAGTCAGCAGAGATTGTGACACTGCCCTCCAGCCTGGGCAACAGAGCAAGACTCCATCTCAAAAACAAAAACAAACAAACAAACAAAAACTAGTCTTGTGAATTTACCTTTTTTGTGGCTTATCAGATTTACATGTTGCAAGTTACTAAATCTTTGGCTTACTATTGCCATTCTCTTTTCTAGATGTCCACATGGGGGTCCGTGTACACATCAGGAATTAATTACAATCTATTTTACAAATCATTTCACAAATCAAGGATGAATCTTTACTCCTGAAGTCACAAGGGACTTATGGAAAACCATGTGATGTGGTCTGAGAGACCTGAAACTAATTTCCTATGAAGATAGTGGAACAGACACCATATGCTTGCTAGTCAAATGATCTAAGAAGGCAAAGCAGTGAAAAATCTGGATTATAAAAGAAAACAGGCTGGGCGTGGTGGCTCACACCTGTAATCTCAGCACTTTGGGAGGCCGAGGCAGGGAGATCACCTGAGGTCAGGAGTTCAAGACCAGCCTGACCAACAAGGTGAAACGCCATCTCTACTGAAAACACAAAAATTAATGAGGTTTTGTGGCAGGTGCCTGTAGTCCCAGTTACTTGGGAGGCTGAGACAGGAGAATTGTTTGAACCCTGGAGGCAGAGGTTTCAGTGAGCTGAGATCATGCCACTACACTCCAGCCTGGGCAACAGAGTGAGGCTTCATCTCAAAAAAAAAAAGCAAACAGACCTTGATCTAAGTCTAAAACCTACCTTTCTTTTTTTCAATTTTGAAATAATTATAGACCACAAAAAGTGGGGTATATAGTACAATACCCATATACCCTTCACCCAGTTTCCCACAACACCGACATCTTATACAGCTGTATATAGTATCAGAACCAGGAAATCAGCGTTGGCACATTACTGCTAACTAAATGACAGATCATACTCAGTTTGGGTTAATTCTTCTGTAACCTAGGCAATTTAATATAGGTAATCTCTCGGAGCCTCAGTTTATTCATCTGTAATATGAAGGTGATAAGAGGAGCTACTTCATAGTACTTACAAGAATTCATTAAGATGGTGTTAGTATATATTGCTTATAAAAGTAGCGGTCACACAGAACAAATGGCCAGATTATAATTATTAAACAAGACTTCTGGGATTTCCAGTTTGCTCTGACACTTTCCCTGAGGTCCTTCCTACTTCTCACTAACATAGAGATGGCATCTGCCACCATTTATAGTTTGATCCCAGAGGACAAAAACACTAGAAAAACAACAGAATGGAGCCTACTCTAAGGACTGAAAGGAAACGTTAAGTCAAAATTCCTCTTCTTATGTGCATACATTGATTTTTTTTTAAAAACTTAGTGTTTCCAACAGTGAAATGACTCAGGTGCCACTGACAATGCCCTTTGAGGCCTCTGGGGGAGAAAGGAGTGAACTAAATAAAATAGCTGGACCTTACACCAACATCTAAGAATAACCTCACACTTTAAATGGCTTAGTGTCCTTTTTTGTTGGGTTGTTGGGGGGAAGATCTTCCCCCCTCCCACTATGATTTTTAAATCTCAATTAGATTTTTTTTTTTTTTTTTTTTTTTGAAACTGAGTCTCACCCTGTCACACAGGCTGGAGTGCAGTAGTGCAATCTTGGCTCACTGCTACTTTGGCCTCCTGAGTTCAAGCAATTCTGCCTCTGAGACTACAGGCATGCACCACCATGCCTGGCTAATTTTTGTAGAGTTGGGGGTTTCACCATGTTGGCCAGGCTGGTCTTGAATTCCTGACCTCAAGTGATCTGCCCACCTTGGCCTCCAAAGTGCTGGGATTACAGGCATTGAGCTACCACGCCTGGCATTCGATTAGATTTTTTTTGAATCAAACAGATGAAATGCAAGCCTGGATCTACACTGTCACAGTATTTAAACCTACTGGTGTTGATACTGAAGGCAAGCAGGATTCTTTAAGAGCTGGGGTTTTTCACTGGTCTTAAATAGGTCTCTGTTTGGATGTACTTTTTGTACATGCAAGAAAGAACTACATATAGAAACAGTTCTAGGCACAACCGAGACCTTCCCATCTGGGCACTATCCCACAATTCTGTTGGCCCTTGCCCTCGACCAGTTGTGTGGGTCCATCCACCATCTCTCTGGTTCTGGCACTGCATATGCATGTCAGTTCTGAGAATGTTCCTGCACCTTCCCTCCTTCACAGCTACATTTTAAGAATACAAGTGTTTAATTTATATTGAGGAAAGAAGAACTCTACTGGGGTTTCCCCTAACTCCGAAATGTTCATTACTTTGAGAATAAATGAATGGAAAACTATAACTTAAGGACTTTTTTTTTTTTCTATTCTTCTTCTTTCATTTTGCAAAGCTGCTGCATTTTCAAACACTACAGTGTCTACTCTGTTTCTATCAACAGACATAATCTGGAATCAGTTAAAAGGACAAATAATATGTCCACTACTCAGCCAACCAGCTAAAGTAAGGCATCCTTGGTTCATTTAAATACTCAGACTTCTCTTCTCCAAAAGTCAAACCAAATAAGAATCATATTTGGGGCCGGGCACAGTGACTCACACCCGTAATTCTAGCACTTTGGGAGGCCGAGGCAGGCGGATCACTTGAGGTCCGGAGTTCGAGACCAGCCCGGCCAACATGGCAAACCCTCTGTCTACTAAAAATACAAAAAGATTAGCCAGGCGTGGTGGCATGTGCCTGTAGCCCCAGCTACTTGAAAGACTGAGGCACGAGAATCACTTGAGCCCAAGCAGTGGAGGTTGCAGTGAGCCGAAATTGCACCACCACACTCCAGCCTGGGTGACAGAGTGATACTCTGTCTCAAACACACACACACACACACACACACACACACACACACAACCAAAAAGCCAAAAAACAAATACAGGACTCTACCTCATTCTATATCACATATGTCAACTAACTAGTTTATAAGCCTTGGTTTCCCAAGATTTATTTGTGATTGGATGAAAGAAAAGATTTGGGGATACAGGGAAGCAACTTATTTTTTATTTTATAAAATATACCAAAATGATCCAAACCTGGTTCCCAATGTGAACTGAAAAGAAGATGCCTTTAGCTTTGTGGGGCACAATCCCTTGTTCAGTTCTAACTGCCTTTTTCTCAACATGAACATATGTTTCCCTTAAAATTACTTCTTTTTTCCTACCCTGGTGTTATGCAAGATCCCTGCTTATTTTGGCGTTGAAAACAAAATAAGAAGAGCCACCCAGAGTTCTCCATTCCAAAGAGAGGAGCTTCCCAAGAAAAGCAAAGTTTTGCTGTTGTATTTCCTTTCAGCACTGCCGAGAGCAGGCGGCATTCTTCAGTGCGGAAATTTAGTGCAGATGAGGGAGCCGGTCCTGAAATACCTATTAGAACCATGAACGACAGGTGTGGCAGGGACTATCTATAGGCTATAGGTTTGCAATCACTTACTTTTTATTAAAAAAAAATTTAGGAGCAAGGTGGCTAAATAGGCCCAATGCGCAATGAGAAAAGTGCTTTTCAAGCACAAAATACAAGGAAAGGAGAGGCTTGGTATTTCAGAGAGAGCTAAAGAGAAACTAAACTCTCAAACTGAGAAAGCAAACCTTGACTTTATTTCTATAATCAAAATCCTCACAAAATTGGCCATAGGTCTAGGTGAAAGCTTTAAAAATTTGGGAAGGGCTAGCATGCTTATGCAAGAAAAACAAAGAGAGGCTTGCATATAGGATATTGGTTTCAATGAGGAAGGGTGAATGCCAAGAACAGTATAAGAATTAAGCACTCACATAATAGATCACTATGAGCAAAGCTCTCCTGCAGATGTTGGAGTTGGTGATCTAAGCCTCGCACTTGGAAAGGTTGTGTGACTGGAGCCATGATATATAAAGTAAGACCCGAGCGCCAAAGTTTTGATTTGGCCAAGCAAACGTGGCTGTTTTTGTTGGGTGGACGAGGTATTTTTTTCACTGAGCAAAGAATTACGGTAAACATCTGCTAACCATGACCACAAAAGAGGTGGTTGTTTTCATCCAAGGTCATTTTAAAGGAATAAATTTAATTAATACAACCACACAGCAGTAGTATCCAACCTTGTAATAAGTCTGCTTGCTTCTATCCACAGACCTATTCACTAAGAAAGCACTTAATCGAGAAAATTTCCCAGTGTTGCCATTACAGCTTCTTGAGGACCACGGATGTGGGGTAAGACTTTTCCATCTCAAGGGATGCTTGAAAACCCAAGCAGACTTCACTTCTTATCTCATTCCTTAGGCAGCTGTTTTCCAGAAACATCTCTAACTCTATTAGCAAGACTTTATTAAAAAAAAAATACTAAAGCCCCATTAAAAAAATTGAATGAGGCTGAGGCAGCAGGAATACGAGGTCAAGAGATTGAGACCATCCTGGCCAACATGGTGAAACCCTGTCTTTACTAAAAATAGAAAAATTAGCTGGGTGTGGTGGTGCTCGCCTGAGTAGTCCCAGATACTCAGGAGGCTGAGGCAGGAGAATCGCTTGAACCTGGGAGGTGGAGGTTGCAGTGAGCTGAGATCACACCACTGCACTCCAGCCTGGGCGACACAGTGAGACTCCATCTTAAAAAAAAAAAAAAAAATGTTCTAATGGGTTGTAAGCTTTACCTCACATATAAACGTCCCAGGTCACATCTCTCTCTCAAACTGCTTCTTTGAAAATAACTGTAAGAATTAATAGAATCCAGGATGGTTTGGGTTTTCAAAAATTCCTTATTTGGTTCTTTCTTTAGGAAGGAATGGGGTGGTAGGGAAGCTAGCAGGAGCTGAATTATTCAGGCTGACTGTCATTCAGATCCATCAAATTACAGCTCAAAACATCACTTTACTTCTGAACAACCAGCCATACCTGCTCCAAAATGAGAGCCACCCATAATTATTATTAAATGTTTCTAATTAAGATAAAATAATCACATTCATAAAAGACTCCACTTCCGTCCTGACTTAAACAAACTTCTGCATCTACCTTCAATATCAGAAGAGCCTTCTAGATTTAGAAAAGCCAGTTTTGCATCAACTACATGCTACCACAGAATTAAACTAAAGAACTAAAGTTCACTATTTCTGGCCTAGGGTCATGTCAATATCAATCAACTAGATACTAAGTTTGCTAAATGTAAAGAACAGAGTAGGCCAGTTGCAGTGGCTCACGCCTGTAATCCCAACACTTTGGGAGGCTGAGGCGGGCGGATCACCTGAGGTCAGGAGTTTGAGACCAGCCTGGCCAACATGGTGAAACCCCATCTCTACTAAAAATACAAAAATTAGGGCATGGTGGCATGTGCCTGTAGTCTCAGCTACTTGGGGGGCTTAGGTTGCAGAATTGCTTGAACCCGGGAGGCAGTTTGCAGTGAGCCAAGATCATGCCACTGCACTCCAGCCCAGGCAACAAGAGGGAAACTCTGTCTCAAAAAAAAAAAAAAAAAAAAAAAAAAAAAAAAAAAAAAAAAAATAAAAAAAAAAAAAAAAAAAAAGAAAGAAAAAAGAAAAAAACAGAAAGAAAGAAAGAAAAAAGAAAAAAACAGAGTTGTCTCCCTCCCACATTCTAAGAATTCCACTGGATGCCCAAAACCACGGTTAGTACTGAATCCTATCTGTATTATATTTTTTCCTATACATTCATATCTACAAAAAAGTTTAATTGATAAATTAGGCACAGTAAGAGATTAACAGTAACAAATAATATAGGACAATTTTAACAATACTGTAATAGAAGTTACGTGAATGCGGTCTCCTCTAATTATTTTACTATACTGTACTCACTTATTTTCAGACCATTGTTGACTGTAGGTAACTAAAACCACAGAAAGTGAAACATGGATAAGGGGAAACTACCATATTTCTCTTTTTGATTTATCTATTTCTCATGGACTAGACCACAGCAATTCATAAAGGCCAGACTTCAGTAAGCTTATTGAAAGAATAAATAGTAAATTCATCAACTCCATTTATTCCAGCAGTTGCAATATCAAACAGGATCCTAAATGTTGGACCAGGCTAAGAGCCGCTTGGAAGCTTGGGGGTGGGAGGCTGTTGGTCTTTCACCTTTTCCACTCACTAGTCTTCAACAAATACCTATTAAACACCTAACAAGTGCTAGTTGCTGTGTTCAGGGTGTGTTTGTGTGTGCACGTGCACGTGCATACATGTGTGGATAAGTGTATGTACACATGGGTGTGTGTGTCAAGCAGAGGAGGGAGTAAAGGGACAGCTGTGATCATCTGAATGTTATTGATACTTGACAGAATCTTGAGGGGTAATTAACACAGGTTTTAGGGTTCACCACGTCTGGAAAGTTACTCTGTGTTGATTTGTTTGTTTGCCTTCCACAATGCTAACTGTTACGTGCTAAGAAAGGAAAGAAGGTAGGCAGAGATGAACATGGAGGAAGCAGCAAGTTTTTTATACCCCAACTTCACTTAAGAGATGATGAACCGTTAGACAAGAGACAGGACTACAGAGGTCCCCGTCTGTTTAATAATGGTCAATGCCTTCAGCTACAAAACAAAGCCAGCCTAATATGGCCCACTAATTCTGCCCCAACCCAGTCAAGATTCGTTTCTATAAGTAACTCCAACATCAGAGGCCACTGTGGTCAGAATTGGAATACAACCACGTACCACTACACTAACTAATGCTTTAAAAAAATGCAACGCATCCATCATATTTGTATAATAAAGGTATTAAATCAGCTACAATTTCCAAGCCTTAAAAGAAAATTCCAAGTTTTTATGTATATTCCTAGTGAAAGATAGTGATGAATGTCATAATAAGAAAATAGGAGGGAATAATTTTTTATCCTTTTTAAATTTTCCTTATGAAATGCATCATTTTAACATAATGCACTTCAACATAGTTACCCATAAATGTAAATTTGTTTTGATAAAATGAAGAGACTTTTAATCCAAATTGCACAGTGATGCTTCTACACTGATCTGTTATAACTTAGTAATCAGAGTTAACAGACTGCCTAATTAACCAAGTCATCATTTGCCAAGATCCAAATATGGGATGAATTGTGGGCCAAGAAGAAAATATGATGGACATGAAAATATATTAATTCAGGGAAGCATTAAAAGCATGTGGAATTAAAGTCTTTTTTTGCTAAATCTCATCATATTTAATATCTTTAATTTTAAGGTATAAGTAACATGCAAAAATAAAAAAATATATATTCCATCTAGGGCACATGGAAAAACATCTGTATCAACTAGCTAAATGGACATAACTAATTTTTAAGCCTCTGACAACCAATGATGTACAAAATCACAGATACCTTCTGATAACAAGTAATGTCGACAGAGGGCTTACTAACTAACAGAAACATACTGTATTTGGTATTTCACATGCTCCAGAGGGTTAGTCTCTATATTTCTAACCCTTCAGGAGGTATTATTTTTATCTTCAGGTACCAGATGAGAAAACTGAGGTTCAAAATACTCTGTTGCCCCCAAGAATGTATGAATAAACAAATAATATCTGATCCTTTCAAAATTCTTAGGGAAGTGATTTTTATTAATTTTTATTTATTATTATTATTTTTTTTAAAAATAAGTCTCCGTAGAGACTCAAAAATTGCCAGTGCCGACTGTATTGCAAGTTGTCATGGTGGGGTATTGGGAAAAGTTTTCAATTAGTAATAATCGCGCCTCGGATAAACCTCATTGGCTACGATACTGCCACTGCACAAAGCTTAGGGAAGTGATTGTTAAAATTCTGTAATTTAACTCACGAAAATTTTTCCCAAGGAGGTTTCATCCATTCACTTATTACGTATTTACTAAGAGCTAGGAGATAGGGGTGGCTTGGAAGATGTCATACGGCTCACCTGTACAAAAATCTTTCATCATCAGGATATTATTCCGACCACTTAATTTTCTAAATGACCTAAAAGACATGTGCATTTTGACTGCACTATGCTATTTTATAAGCCCATTGCCTGGGTCATTCAAGAGCAAGTCTCGATGTAACACAGGGTTTAATCCTACTAAGTCCACTAACAAGACCAGCTTCCCCCTGGCTACCTGGCAACTCCTATTCTCTGAGACCCTAGTCTGGTGTCATTCCTGCTATGAGGCCCTCCAATCTCCATTCTCCAATCCCCTCCCCAGTGAAAATGTACAATCTTTCAGTATTCTTGTAGCTTCTCTATCACCATATTATAATTGACTTTTCTGTCTACCTTGCACATATAAGTATGTTAAAATCTATCACCTTGGCCGGGTGCAGTGAGTGGCTCATGCCTGCAATCCTAGCACTTTGGGAGGCTGAGGTGGGTGGATCATGAGGTCAGGAGTTTGAGACCAGCCTGGCCAATAAGATGAAATCCCATCTCTATTAAAAATACAAAAATTAGCCAGGCATGGTGGTGTGTGCCTGTAACCTCAGCTACTCAGGAGGCTGAGGCAGGAGAATCGCTTGAACCTGGGAGGTAGAGGTTGCAATGAGGTGAGATCGCGCCACTGCACTCCAGCCTGGGTGACAGAGTGAGACTACGCCTCAAAAAAAAAAAAAAAAAAATCAAGCATCTTGCCTAAGGACCACAAACCGTGGCAGATGGTAGGTGGATGGTTAGAGAGAAGAATGAATAGAAGGCAGGGAGGCAATGAATGAACTCTAGGCTCCTCGAGGACAGAGGCCTGGTAGCATTTCTGAGGCACAGCCCAAATGCCATTGGAGATGTCAAGCATTCTCGGCAGACAACTTTCTGGGAAAACTCTCATAGATGACATTTAGTTGTGGGTTAGCTGAACCACATGATATTTAAAGGTTCCTTCACCCTGTAATTCTATGTATTTGCTGTACATCAGGTATAGTACCTGATGTGTACATAAACTTCGTTCACTTTCCCAGAATTATGTCCCCTTCTGAAACCAGCCCTCTTTCCACCTACTTTCCCATGTTTTATGTAGGTCAAAGGCCATCCATGGCTTTAGAGATGGGTACATGACCTAAGGCAAGCAGGGCCTCCCACCTGCCCGACGCACTCCTGCTCCAGCTCCAGCCAGTATTTCAACAAAAGGCATGTGGCACACACCAGACCAATCACTGATGCAGGAAGATCCAGATTCTGTGACAGCTGTTAGAACTCTCAAGAAAAGATCTTTCCTGCTGGGGTTGCTACAAAAACAGACTCATGAAAGGTTATCCTGCCACAACCGAGGAAACTCCTCCGTGAACGAATCCAACAGGGAGCATAGCACAACCAGGAGATCGCCACTAAGACTCCATGGCATGATCTGAACCTCCTGCTTCAGATGCCCCTGGAGCTAGTTCCACAATCTGACTTTTCAACATTGTGAGCCAATTTAATTCCCCTTTATGCCTAAGCTGGTCACTCAGAACCAAAAAGACCTAAAATATGGTGAGCTCAGTATTTTAAGACACCGGCACATTAGAAGTGGGCTGTCTTCTCTTTGTGTTAAAAAGGCAATATGAAGACTTCAAACCTCTTAAGAGAAAAATTGGTTATTTGTGGTCCCTTGTAACTGGCATTTATAGATTTTTCTTCAAGCATAATATTTTACCAATATTTGAAGGTCAAAGTCCTTGGCATACAGCTTATGAACCTATAATTCTACTGACTAAGTAACCAAAGGTATTCTACTCTGTTAGCCAGTGATACCTTTAAGTACCC